GGGCGGGTCAGGAGAGGTCTGCCATGCGATGTGGTCACCTCCTGGGGCGGGGATGGAACTCATGCAGAAGTGGCTTTAGCTTCTTAGTGCTGTGCTTTAACCCGCTGCGCCAGGGAGTGGCCCCCCAGTGGAAATCTTAACCTGCTTCTGCTTCCTGCTGCACTTCCAGCTTCTCCCACACCAGAGGTAGTCATTTCTCTTACGGAGATCAAGGATTCTCCCACAATTAATTAATCAATTAGTTTAACACACAACTATTAAGCACCCATAATTGCTAACCCTGAGGAAGCTAGTTAGGAAAACCCTGCCAGACCCAAGTCATCTTTCAGCATCATCCAATTTACTTGTTCCAAATTAAGTGGGAGGATTTTAGCTGAGACTTTTCCCACACACACAGTTAGGGGACATTATGAGGGTGTGATGAGGGTACTGAAAGGCACGGGTGAGGGAAGACTGAGGAGGCAGGATTGAACCCCAGGGCAGTGAGATGTGTATGTGAGGAGGGGTGTGGGGGCACTCCAAGGAGTGAGGACCTCAGGCATGGTGGCGTCTGAGAACACTGCACCCCACAATCTCTAGAGATTCCTTGGGGGAAAGTCTCTGGCCAGTGTCTGAGTCAGTCTTCCACAGATGGCCCTGGGATGGACAGGACATCTAAGCTGTCCTAACAGTACATCTCTCAGAGGGTTATACTGGAACTCCCCAACATGGAGTGTTATGGGGCCCCCCACACACATGTGAATGCAAATACACATATATACACACAGACACATACACACAGGCACCCCAGGTTCCTGCGTCCCTACACCTCTCCTTAGGTGTGAGTTCTCAAGGTCCAAAGGAACACGGTCCCTTGGAAGTTCTGGGGCCTGGTGTGGTGGAAAGAATATGGGCTTCAGCATCAAGAACTGGTTTAAATCTCCACTCTGCCTCTTCCCAGATGGCCGTGATGGGACAAGTTATGGGGTCCATTCTGAGCATCAGTTTCCTCATTTCTAAAGTGGGACTGGTAACCCCTGGTCTGGAGAGTGGTGAAGAAGAAGTGCGATTAGAGATGTGAAAGAACCTAGTACAGTGCCTTAAAGAGCAGGACTTACTTAGTATGAACTCAAGCCACGCAGACCCCTGCCGAGATGGCACACGGTAGGGGCCTCATATACACAGCAGGAGGAACTCATACAAGTAGTCAGCCCCTGCTGTTTGGAAGGACAACTTTTCTGAGGAGATGCGGGGGAGACAGCAGGCAGCAAAGTGCCAGCTTGAGAAGGCCGTGGCTTACGGCTTCTCTCCTTCTGTTATGAGCTGAACTGTGTCTCCCCCAAATTTGTATATCCTACCCTTCCCCCATACCTCAGAATGTGACTGGGCAAGGGGCCTTACCGAGGTAGCAGTTGAAATGAGTCATTCTGATGCAACAGGACAGATGTCCATGTAAGAAGGGGTGACAAAGACAGAGACTCCACAGAGGGAAGGCCAGGTGGAGACCAGGGAGGAAAAGCCCTTGGCAAGGCAAGAGAGAAGCCTCAGAAACAACCAATGCTGTGGCCCTGGATCTCAGACTTCTGGCCTCCAGAACTGAGAGAAATCCTTTCTGCTGTTGAGCCACCCAGTTGGTGGGATGCTGACAGCCAGGCTGACTAACACACCCGTCTCACAGGCAACTGAGCGCAAGCTTCCAACAGCAGTGGGAGCTTGGGCTGTGCGGCCTGTAGGAAGCCGCTGACGTGGCGAAGCACGTGGCTCCCCTCAGGACCGGCTGGATCAAATGGCTTTGACAGAGTCCGGAAACCAACTCCACTTTAAGAGATTCCTGGCCAAGTAGAACTTCAAAAAGGAGGGGCTGAGATGGCGAAGGCCATGCCAATGGAGGCAACCCAGCCTCTGAAGGCCTTCCTCGTGGTCACTGCTGTCCCAGGGTGGCACCGATGCTCTCAACAGACAGGACAGTGTGGTTACTATGGGCGCTAAGAAAATGATCCATGCCCCAGGCTGGGGCATGGGGGTCCTGAAGCACCCCTCCCACAGCTGAGCATCTGTGATTTCTATAGCTGCAGCCTCACCACTGCTCTTCGACACTCCTAATCTCTGGAAGCACCTCCCAGCTCCTCAGCTGTTTCCTCTGCATGTGCGTATGTGAGCACCCACCTGCACATGACACTCCGCCATCAGACTGGGGAGTCCAAAGGAGCTGATCGCCTCTCCTCTGACCACCCCATCTCTCTGCAGTGCTACTCTCAAACTTCTCGCGCCTGATCTCTCTCCTCCAAAAGGTCTCAGAGCCCAGGAAAGTAGAGGGAACAATGTCTCTTGCTGTTTGCAAAGGTCCCTCCTGGAAGGGACAAATGATGGCTGGGCAAGAGGCTCACAGTCAGGGCCTGGTGACTGGGACTCTCTGGAGAGCCTGCAGGGCCAGGGCTCCTGGCAGCCCTCTCTGGCTCTGTGCTGCCCTCTGGCCTGTGGGACACACATCACATGGGTCGGTAAGCCTGTTCATGAGCTCTGAGTGCGAGCGGAACCACCTGGGCCAAGGAGAAAGTGGAGCAAAGGCGGATGGGTAAAGGGGGACCCTTCTGCCCGGCACAACAAGTCAGGGTCCACCTTTGGGGAATATATTAAGGAACGGCTAACTCTCCATGGCCACAGTGCTCCCTGGGAAGGGCCTCAGGCCTGAGCTGCAGCCTCATTACACCGTGACTCTGCACGCACGAGGGGCATTAATAATTCATACAAATCTGCAAGTTAAATGCTGTGTCAAAAATAGAAATGCAGTTGTCTACAATAAAATTAAAAACACAAAATCCAAAGGCTGCTATTGACAAAGGTTCCTATCATCTGGAAGAAAAACCTCTCACTGTGCTGGCAAGTGCTGCTTTCTCCATCCTCCCCCCTTGTCAGTTGCCTCAGACGCCTTCATAGGTACCTGCCTGCCTGTGACCAGCTGTCCCCCATGACATCTGGAGGTGCCCGTGGCAGGTCTCTGAGGACCCCGCCGTGGGGTGGAATTCTGGAAGCTGGCTGGAGATGAGACGCTTTCTCAGAGAGGGGGAGAAGTGGACAGGTGTGAGAGGTGGCTACAACCCCGTTTGTCTTTCTCAAATGAGAGACTGGCAGACAGACAGACAGACAGACCACACACACTGAGGGATGGAATTGAGGAGTCAGGAGGGGCACTCGGCCTCTCTGAGCTTCAGTTTCATCGGAGAAAGGAAGGTATTGATGATGGACAGTGTGGTGTCCAAACCTCCCATCGCGGGGAGACCCTGTTTCATGTGAAACTTATTTAGAATCTCAATATAGAAAGTAGATGAAAATGGAGAAGTGGGGGTGCATGAGAGTCAAGAGTCTTAATTATTAGGCTCCCCCTCCTCCCCTCCCCACCAAAACACCCTAGGGTTCTGAGAACACAGAAGGAAATCCTGTGGTCTCCATCAATTATTTTCAAATGCAGACTTACAGACATGGTTGGCTGCCTCAGAATCATCTGGGGAGCTTATTAAAAATAGAGCTCTTGGGCCCCAGAAGGTCTCTAGTGGAGCCTGGAAATCGGTATTTTACACCTAACCCCACGCCCAGCGACTGCTGTTGGGCCAGTTGATCCCCCAGGTCCTTTCCTGTCCTAAAAAATTCTGATAGAATCTGTACCTGTGTCAATGGTCCCTGCAGGCATCCTGCCTGCCCGCCCTCTACGACCTCCATGTTTGCAGCCTCCAGAAATACCCTGCTCCTGCTCAGCAGCCCAGACATCTGTGGCTTTGCAAAGCCTCAGGTCCCAGGGGAGGCAAACAGCTGTGTCACAGAGATCCCCTGACATGTGGGTTACACGGGCTGACGCAGGGATGTGGCTGGGAAAGTCAGCTTCAGGGACTCTGCTTCTGAGGAGCAAGGACCTGTGGGGGTAGAGTGGGGGTACTGGCAGGTGGAGCATGGTGACTAAAGAGGCTTATTGATTGTCTGTGGCATCCAGGGATAAATAAAACAGGCGGCTGTAGAGAACTTCAGAGTGTGCAAGGCATTTCTGACATGTACTGTCTCATCAGAGCCTTCTCCCATCAGGAAAACCATGCTGTGGCTGTCAGTTTTGCTGATGGTGTAATAGAGACCAGGGTAACTGTGGGCCTTTTTCAGGGTCAACAATGGGTACCTTCACTGAGGCCTGTGAGGTTATAAATCTCATCCCCCTCCCCCAAAATGGTGTTTTCCAGGCATGAGACCTGAACTAAAGGCTGCATCTGAAATTACCTGCACTTGATTTGGGGGCCCATTCAGTGTGCATGGGCATGCATGCGTGTGTGTGTTTGTGAACACTGGTGGAGGCCGGGAATTGCTATCTTCCCTTCCCCCGTCTTTACCCCAGCCCTTTCAGCATCACTTGGCCCAAGAGTTCTTGCCCTTCAAGTAACACACATGCCCACAGACAGAACCACTTGGTAAACTCAGCTCCTTTGCACATGGGGGCCCACATGCAGAGGAACGTCCCTCATAGTGACACCTCTGCACTGTCTAATGAGGCCACGACCACACACTGGAAGGAGAGCATTGAGGTGGGAGAGGAGTTTGGCTCGCCACAGCTCCTGCGAGCGAGGGGTGTGCAGGCCTCTGTGGAGCCCCATCCCGATCCTGCAGGCCCACCTACCGTCCAGCCCGCGGGGCAGGCACACTCGCCGGTGATGTGGTGGCAGGTCCCCCCATTCTGGCAGGGGCAGCGCAGCTCACAGTGAGCCCCATGGCTCCCGGGCGGGCACAAGTCCTCACAGCTGCAAGGGAAAGCAGAGTGGGTTGGTCAGAAGCAGCAGCACTCAGAGCAGACGGCAGGGCCACAGCACTGCCAGTTCCAATGGCCCAGGGCTCCCTAGGAGTTCAGTGAGTTCGCCGCCAGTTTGAGCTATTTTGGACACAGGGTCAGCTGAGATGCAGTTCTGCTCCCTGCCAGGAGGGGGAAGCAGGGCTCCTATATAAGAGACTGGAATGTTGCCTGCTGGCGGGGACGTGTGGCATGCCTGAACTGCCGTTAGCATAGTTCTGGGGAGGGAAGGCTGAGGAAGCTTTGCCTGCAAGAGAGACTTTTTTGGTTTGCTATAAAGATATTTTTATTTATTTTATTTAAAAAAACATTTTTTTTTAAATGAAGAACCTTTTTCTTATATACTTGCTCATTTTTTGACAGTATAGGATTTCTCCCCTCAGGTGTGGCCACCATAGTTCTCCCACCACCAAAGCACCCACAGTCCACTGTGCTCCTCCCACACTTGCTTTCGCCCCTCCTCCATTCTCCTCCCACCCCCAGGATGCCTTAGATGTATGATCAGCTTCTTTGTCTGGCCCTTTGTTAGGTTTCTCTACAATCCACATATATGTGAAACTATCCAGTATTTAACTTTTTCCTTCTGACTTATTTCGCTTGGCATAATCCTGAGAAGGAGACATTTTACTTGGGAAGATGAAGTTAGTCTCATCAGGAGACTAGGAGGAAGGGACAGACAGAAAGGCGTGCGTGAGCAAAGGCACTGAGAAGTAACACAGAGCAGCCTTCAGAAGTCTCTCTGGATTCAGAGAACAGGAGCATCTGTGCCCCCCCTCCACCCCATTGCACCCCCTCCAGGCTCTGGAAGATTCTCAGCTACCATGACAGGGTTATGTGCAGGGAGGGGGCACTTCTGAGATGAGGGGAAGGATTTGCAAGGGGTCTTGGCCTTCGGCCTTAGTCCAGTGGCCCCTCGCTGGAGCTGGCCAGACTGCAGGGTAGGGAACACCCCTTAGCCAAGGCTGTGTCTGCAGCCTGAGTCTTGGGTGCTTCAGGATGCAGGGTCGTTGGGAGGCCAGTACCTTCCGCAGGGTAGCGAAGAGAACATCATCTTGTCTCTGAGGGGTTCCAACTAAGCAGCCTTAGAGGTCCCCTGTCACTGCAGATTCCAGGGAACTGCAGTCAGGGGGTGCTTGGGGTCTGGTAGGAGCAAGTAGGGGAGAGGAAGAGACATAGCAAAATCCCCATCTGTGCAGGAAGTCTGCTGGGGCATCTCTCTCACCTCTGTCTCAAAGAGCCTGGATGGGCCAGGCTTCACATGAGCAGTGGCTTCTGGGTTACACCCAGAAAAGGGGTCCCAGGCCCCTACCAGGAAGGGCCTCCCTTATTCTCTGCAGGATATGGGGTGACTACAGATTATACAGCTAGGAAGAGGGGACCCCTCCTTCTACTCCCACATGCCAGAGGTTGGGGGGCACACAGTTGTGGGGAGGGTAGAGGCACCCCCCAACCCCCACGCCCAGTGACCCCTTTACTCACTAGACACCAGTGTAGCCGGGTGCACAGAGGCACTCGCCCGTGCGGGGGTCGCAGCTGGCACCATGGCGGCACTGGCACTGCAGCTGGCAGCCCTTGCCGTGGGTGCCGGGGCCGCAGAGCTCCTCACAGCGCCAGCCGCGGAAGCCGGCGGCACACACGCAGGCACCGGTGATGGGGTTGCAAAGGGCGCCGTTCTGGCATTGGCACCGGTTGCTGCAATGGGGGCCCCAGTGGTCGCTGTCACAGCCTGCAAGAAAGGAGACGGTCAGGGCTGAGAGGCCCCCATAGGCCCTCCTCGGGGCAAAGCACCCCAGAACCGCTGCTCAAGGCTTCCCACCTCTGCATCACTCTTCCCTGGAGAGGAGGCGGTAAGGGGTGTGTGGGTGGAAGCCTGGCACTCCTAACCTCCATCCGCTCCTTACTGAGTCACCCAAATATCACATAAGTGAAGAAGCTTGTTTCCGTAACACATTTCTTGAATCTGTCTCCCAGCGGGGGGCTGGTCCCTTCCAGCCAATGGCTCCCCCTCCTGCACCTCCTGTTCCGTCCTGAAATTCTGGAGCCGCAGGCTTTACTCTTCTTGGTTGGCTGCCAACGTTCCCCTCAGACAGGCCACCACTCCAGTCTGCCACCTCTCTTCCCTGTCACGCTATCCCCGTTCCTCAGCCCTTCTTCCCTCCTCTGGAAACTTATCTTCTTGCAATAACCTCTTGCAACAACCGCTCCAGCACTGAAGCCTGCTAACTCCCTGCCCAGCCCCAGCCCGAAGCCAGGTCACCTTCCCACCTGCTGCTTCCCCCTTCCCGTGAAGCCTCCTCCCCTGCATGCTGCATCCTCAGTTCAATTACATTACTTTCTGAGCAGCCAGCTTCAGAAGAAGCAAGAAAAGGAAATATTTCCCTGGGAAGTGACAGTCTTCAAGATCTTTATATGTAATTAGCTGTTTCAAAGAGCGATATCTGAGCTGGCTTTGCAGAAATTCCCTCTCCAACCATGGAAAGGGCTACGAGGCAGTGTGCCAGGCAGATCACCCCACCTGCCGTCGCCTCCCATTCTGACCCTCAGCTCAGTAACATGATGTCCTCAGACTGCTGTCTCACTGAAATCCTGGATGGTGGGGTGTGTGGATAGGGGTGGAGCCCAGGCATGGACAGATAGGCACAACTAACACAGAAGTTCAGTGGAGAGAAAGATTGTTTCCAGCTGAGAAAGCCAAGCAAGACATCCTAGCAGTCATGCGAAGTGACTATAAAAGATGTCACACTTGTCTGCCCATCACTGTGACCAACAGTCCTGGTGTCAGCACTGAAGTCCCTCGTTCCAAGCAATTCTCAGGCCTGAGCAAACTGGGGTGGCTGCTGGCCCTACTGCCTGCTGAAGGGAGCGGGGTCCTTAGACTATTCAGCTCCAGTGATTCCAGGCTTTAGATACTCAGAGAGCAACAGGGCGGGTGGGTGGGATCTGGGCAGTGTGACTGGGGCAGGCACAATGAGCCTGGTGGCTCTGGAGAGCTGGGCGTGGCTGGGCTCAGGTTCGAGCAAGCCCAGCACCTGGAATCTTTGGGGGCCAAGAGGTTGATGGTGGAGTCACGGCCAGTCCTCTCAAGGCCCTGGAAGCACTGCCAATGGCTGAGTAGGGTCAAGGGGTGAGTGTCATGAGGGTGGGCCTCAACCCGTAGTAGAGGGAACCACCCTGGATCCAGAATCCCAGTCACCCTGTCTTGTTTCATCCCTCCTACAAGTGTGCGCCAAACATTCACACACACAAACTGAGTTTTTAGTGAACCTCATTTTCCATTTTTTAAAAAGATTTATTTATTTATGCATACAGAACTGGGGTACAGGCCAGAGGCTCAGGGGCGGCGAGAGGCTTCACCAGACAGAGTGGGGCACAGTACAAGCTGACTGACCAAGTAGAATGCTGAGGGGAGCAGTGGGTGGGTCAGGAGAGGTCACCATGTGGGTCACCTCCAGGGTAGGGGAATCCAATTCTCACTGAAGCGGCTGTGGCTAGCTTGCAGTGCTGCATCCTAACCCCTTGCACCACCAGAGAGGGCCCCTCATTTTTCATTTTCTAACTGATACTCCCATGACTGAGGTTAAAAATCAAATCCAGTGACAACCCCCACTTACACAGAAATTGCCTCACAGGACCGAGGACCCAGCTCTCCAGTGTCTCCCACACTTCACCCTTTTTCTGGGACATGCACTCAGCAGAAACTAGCAGACTTATCTACTGTACATTTCTCTATCTTCTCTTGTTAACAAGTATATGTAGTTCAAACTGCATGTTTGATTGCATTTAATACCAGTGACAATCACATTTTAAAGGCTCACTACATACCGGACACCATGCTAAAAGTTCTCCAGGCATTGTTAAAATGTAATCCTCACGCCAACCCAGAACTAACTAGAGTTAGTTTCTTTTATTTCTCCATTTTACAGATGGGGAACTAAAGAGTCAGATAGGTTAAGTGATTGCTCAAGGGCACAGTCAAGGGCAGGCCCGGGTCTTTTGACTACAGGTTGCCCCACTACAGGTAAGTGGGACACTTTCTGAATGATGATTCTGAGGAGACTAGGAGGTGCCTTTGGGGACAGAGTGGCAACTGCTAAACACAGGGGCAGGGACATGATGGATTCTAGCCATTTGCTCTCTGTCGCTGAGACACCCAGGATCTAAAACAAAGGGTAGATCAAAGGGTTCCTTTTTCTCATTTTTAGTGCTGTTACCGCTGATGCTGGCTCTGAACTAAAGCATTGGCATCCAAAGTCAGTTTGTCTTTAGCGCATCCTAGAGCACACAGTTACACCCTGCCCATCAGGTGACCTCCCTCCTCTTGGGCACAGATAAAACCCAGTAGGAAGCATAACTGCACCTCCATTCTACAAACATTTACCCAGCGCCTGCTAGTGCCAGAAGTGGCCTGCCCTCTGGGAGTGTACAGTCTTGTGGGAACAGAGATGCTGGAACACCTGGCAAGTGCCAAATAAGGGCAATTCAGGGTATCAGAGGAGCAGTTAATCATGATTCTGTTAAGCTTGACAATCTGGTTCTCAGACCAGATTGCACGTGAGTGCATGCACAGATACTGTTACAGGGCATTCCCGTGTGAACAGGGCTGCCTGTCTGTGGGGCCTCACCCGCGCTTAAAATTCAGTTGTACTGCAGGCACACACAAAAGGGTCAATGATGGGTCTACTTACAGAAGGGGAAGGAAAAGGAACAACCCAGGGAAAGAGAGCTGGATACAAAATAACTGGAATATCTTATCAGCTCTGCTGACTAGGAGTTCTGGTAATAAACCAACTGAAAGCCCCAAGTCATGTGACTGGTCCCAACAGCTGTTTCCCAAGTGAGAGAGAGCTGTAGAAAATGGCGCCTTATTTATCCCCCAAAGTCCCAGAATGCCTGCTTAGCTCCACCCTTGGGTCCTCACAGTTCTCTCCCTGGTATTGCTGGGAGTTGTAGTTTCCGATCACTGGAGTAGGGGGTGGAGTCCAGAAAGCTGGAGTATTGGGTGGGGTCCACAAAACTCTGCAGAGTTCCTTTAGGACATCCTTCCCCTTAACAATATGCCAAGGGGAGCACCACCTTCCCTGCCCCACCTAATGAGGGGTGGAACTGACAGGCCAGGTGAAGCTATAGACCATGGAAGGCAGGTGGGCTAGGGAAGGAGGGATTCCTTTTGTTCCTGCAGCTGGACTTGCAGGGCAAGGTACTGCAGGGCAGGAAACACGTGCAGGAGAGACATGTAAAGACACTTGGAAAAGATGCTGGGTGTGAGGCATGTGGGGAGGCTAATAATAGCAGCCTTTATCTTGATGTGACGTCTCATTTTGTCCCTACCTTCTGGGACCTACTTCAGAACCTCTTTCCGACGGTTTTCCGTCAGATTTGTGGTAAGTTTTCAGGCCTCAGTAGCTCCACTGCAGACAGGCCTTGTTTGGCTGTGCCTTCCCCCATAGGGGGATGGGTAATCTGGGGTGACCAACTGAGAAAAGTACCCTTTCTCTTCCCTTCTATACATACTAATTTTTAGTATTAAAATGCCTTCATACCAAATGTCTGTTTTGCTTTTGTGCACATGGATGGCCAGAACCCTTTAGAGCATGCAAGTTTGGGGAGTTCTTGGGTACCGCTTGGTCATGTGCTAACAGATCTACATGTGTACATTTGTGTCTGTGTGTGTATATTACTTTGTGGGGCTCCTAAAATATGTAGGAAGAGCTCCATGTCCCAGTGGAGAACCAGGAAATAAAGAGAAAACATCTGTAGACTAAAAATCAGCTACTCGGAGTCATCAGTATAGGGGTAAATCACTCTTCATGTACAAATTGACAGGAAGAGGCTATGTTCAATTTAGAATATTCTGATTAAGGAAGCATGGAAGTGTGTAATCTATTCCATAGAAACTTCCCCCCAGAGTGATTAAATGAAAGAAAAAAGTTAGGGTTCAAAGGGATAAGCTTCAGTTATCTAGAAAATCCACTTAAAAACACCTCATTCCCCAGCAATGACAGAGAAATGAGGCGGACCTGCAGAGAGTCAATTATTCGCCCTGGTGAAGGTGAATAAAAACTCTCGTCATTAAAATTACAACAGGAATTCGCCTTCTTCCACAGATAATCCAATTTGGCCTTGGAATGTCACCCCCTCACACACTTTTTTTTCCTGTCACAGGCACTCCGTCCTAATTATGTTTAGCTTTGGCTGATATGTCCAAAGGTTGTGTCTTCTTTGGGGGTAGGTGGTGAAGGCTTATGGATAGAAATGTGTGGTGTGGCTGGATCTGTTCCTGTAGTAGGTTAACTCACCTCCTTCTCAGTTTTGGCTGCACAACAGCATCACTCTATGAGGATCTTAAAACCACTCTTTTCTAGGACCTCCCTGGTGGTGCAGGGGTTAAAGTCTCAAGGCTATCAAGCTATGGCCAGCCACCGCAGCACATGAGTTCAATCCCCAGCCAGGGAGCTGACCCACATGGTGCAGCAGATCTCTCCTGTCTCACCCTCAGCCGTGGATTTCAATAGATCTGCCTGTCCTGCGCCCCACTCTGTCTCCAGAGAATACTCACCCCCTTCCCCCACCTCTGGCCTGTATGCCGGTTCTCATATGCATAAGTAAATAAAAAGTCTTAAAAACCAAAACACTCTAGTTTGTATCTCATACCCATTTTGATTTCATTGTTCTGAGGGGGTGGGACCCAAGCATAGGTCCTTTTAAAAACTTTAGCCTTTTGGGTCC